GCTCGGGCTGCTGCTCCGGGGGTCCCCCGCGCTAAGGCCGAGTGCCAGCCCACCGGTCAGCTCTGGGCATACTTACCGCCAGGCAGGCGGGCTCTGCTGGGGGCTGCAGGCCCGGGCGCTACCGCGGCGCAGCATGCGTCCTGCGGCCGAGCGGCCCTGGATCTTCAGCGCCCTCCCCGCGCCGGAAGGGGCGCGCTCCCGCGCCGCGTCACCTCCGCAGCGGCGTCACGTCCCCGCAGGGTCTACCGCGCCCGCTCCAATCCCAGGCGTTCCTCCCGAGTCCCAATCACAGGCCCGCTCTCTTTGGCCCCGCCCCATCGTCGGGGCACGCCCCCAGCGCATGGCCCGCCCCCATCGGGCCCCGCCTCCCTGCGCGGTTTCCCTCGGATACTCCCTCTGTTCCCAGGCTCGCCTGGGTCTGCTCAGATCCCGGACTCTACCTCGCAAGTCCCAGGCAAGAGCACGGGATGGCGAAGGTATTTCAGAGAATTAGATCGAATCCTGGGAATGAATGCTGAATTCGTATCACACACCTTGCCGTTTATGTAGCTCGGAAACACTTTTTAAAAGAAGAATTATTATATCTACCTATTTTTATTTATTTACTTTTTTATTTGAGTTTTGACCAGAGAGGGACAGAGTGAGAGGGAGAGAGAGGAAAAGTGAGAAAGCAAGCTTCCAGATCCAGGACTTGAATCGTGGTCGACCATGTAGGAGTTCAGCGCCCTTAACCACTACGCCACCTGCTGGCCCCAATACCCTTTTAAAAAAGATTTTTGCCATAGGGCATGTGGGCAGAGACAGAGAAAGTGAAAAATCACCCCCTAGGAGGGATGACGGCACAGCTCCCCTATCTATCCTTCTTTCTCCTCCTGGGATTTTGGGTTCACACACATACACACATGCCTGGTGTGATTTTCAAGCCTCCAGGTCTCGAGTTCAGACCACTGGCTGCCTTGTGAGAGCCCTGCGCTCACCACACCAAATCCCTCCTTTTTCAATCTCACCATCCCTCCCTTCCGCAGATTATTTACTGAGTGTCTAGGATGTGACAGGCAGTGGGCTACTTTAGCTTTTGGCTCCTGTTAATTTTTGCTAGAAACAGCAGAATTGTGAACCCCCTGCTCTGGCTTTTTCTTGCATGTGCATCCTGCGTGCATGTCTGGGAGTTACATAGAGGTCTTCAGAAAGTCTGCAGAAAATGGGTTCTATGAAAAAAAACCGCATGGATCCAAAAAAATACTTTTCCTTTTTAGTTTTTTTGCTATAATGCCTGGGCACTCACTAGAGACAGAGATGGAAATCACCCCCAGAAGGGCGCGGTAGCCACACCGTGATCCCTCCTTCTCCCTTCTCCTTTTGGGATTTTAGGCATGCACAAATGCCCTCGGCATGATTTCAAGCCCATGTCTGGGCAGGATTCAAAACAACAAAGTCAGCCCTATGGGATCCAGCCACCTTAACCTCCCCACCACCTGCTGGCCCCAATAGCAAATTTTTTTTTTTTTGAGAGATTTTCACTGTAGGGCGCATGCGCTCGCCAGACAGACAGAGAGAGACATAGATACAGAAAGCGAGAAATCACCCCCCAGGGGGGATGGTCACGCCGCAATCCCTTCTCCTCCATTCTCCTCTCGGGATCTTGGGCACGCACGCACACGCGCCCAGCGTGCGTTTTAAGCCACCGGGTCCGGGACACGAACTGCGGTCGACTATGTGGGAGTCCAGCGACATAGCCATTACGCTAACTGCTGGTTCCCCCAATTGCAAATTTTTTTAGGCCAAAATAAACTCGTACTTTAATTCTATTTTTCTGTGAACTTAGAGAAGTCCCCTCAAATAGGGTGTGCACCACACAACACAGAAGATTTGAGGGACCAGAAACATCCTTAGTTTTTCAGAGGACAGTGCCCAACTAATGCCATTCTAGATGCAGAGAAAGTAACTCTCATATGGATGCCTCAGGGCAGTAGGGTCCATTCTGTTGGTGCTGGTTAAAGTGTGGGCTCTGTAGCACAAAGACTCAGGTTTCTGGCCTTGGTCATTCTGATATTAAGAATGTTACTGAACCTCTCCAAATAATAGTTACCTTGTGTAAGAATGGGGAGAAAACAATAGAACCAGCAGATGGCATAATGGTTATGTTACTGGACTCCCATGTAGTCAACCGTGGTTTTGAGTCCCAGATATGGCGGCTTAAATCTCACACTGGGCGCATGTGTATACCCAAAATCCTGAGAGGAGAATGGAGTACAAAGGATTGTGACGTGGCCATCCCCCCAGAGGATGACTTCTTGCTTTTTGTCTGTCTCTCCAGAGAGTACACACGCCCTATAGCAAAAATCTCTCTCTAAAAAAAAGAATGGGGAAAAAATAGTGTTCTATTTCATGGGTCTCTGTCACATTTAAATGAGATCATTTACGCAGGCGTAATGCACCATAACGCTAGGTGCTTCGTAAACATTAGCCATCATTGTGTTGCCTGTTGTATAAATGCTCAGAAACTTCCCACTGTCCACAGGGTTGAGTTCAAGTTTCTTCAGCATGGTGTTATGGGTACTTTACAAGCTGGTTCTAAGTCTGAGGTCTCGTCTTTCCCCACTTTCCTTCTGGCATATTGGGCCTCAGTGGATTTGTCCTACATCTGCAAATGTAAAAACTCTTTCATTCCTCCAGGCTTCTGCACATGGGGATCTTGGTGCTGCATTGCCCTTCACTTCTTTTCCTGCCCCAAGACCCGACCACGTTACACTAGGTTTGGCTTTGGTCCCAGACAACCCTACATTTACATTTGGGCTCGCCAGCCACTGACCAGCTAGATGACCTTTGGCAAATCCTTAATCTTTGACTCATAGTATTATCTTAAGGATTGAATTATACAATGTAGATAGAACAGTACTTGGGACATAGCTATTAACTCGAAAATGTTAATTCTCAAAAAAAAATGTTATTTCTGTCTCTTCTTACTTTTCTGCATCTTTCTCAACTCCTTCCCTTCTGCACCTAGTACGTGGTAACTAGTTAGTTGTCTGTTTTGGCTTATGAGTTCTTTGGGGGTGTAAGTCCACACTTGGTGACAGTTGTATCCTCCAGGCCTACTACAGCCAGCGCTAGGCACACAATCAGGCCTTAAAAAAATCTTTTCGTTGGTGCCAGTAGGTGGCGTAGAGATTAAGGTGCTGGATCCCATATGGTTGGCTCTGCAATTCAAGTCCTGGACCTGGCAGCTTGAAAATCATGCCAGACGTGTGTGTCCCAAGACCCCTAGAGGAAACGGGAGAAGAAGGGGTTGCAGTGTGGCCATTCCCCCAAGGGATGATTTCTCACTTTCCCTCTCTGGCATGCACATGAACCCTATAGCAAACACACTAAGATTTTTTAAAAAATGAAGTTTTTGTGTTGAGTGGATGAGACAGAAATCAGGGCAAGACAAGGAACGGTGAGTTCTAATGTGGGAAATTCTCTCTGCTGGGCTTCACTATCTAATACTAAGCAAGGTGTTCCTGGGAACAAGCAGGTGGCGTGATAGTTAAGGTGCTGGACTCCCACATGGCTGACCACAGTTTGAATTCCAGACCAGACAGCTTGCTATCTCATTTTCCCTCTCTCTCTTTGTGTCTCTTTCTGGTGAGCATACATGCCCTATAGCAAATGTAAATAATAACAATAAATACATTTTTTGTCTTTTTTACTTTTAGAGAGAGATTTTTGCTATTGGGTGCATGTACTCACTGGAGAGACAGAAAGAGACAGAGAGACAGAAAGCAAGAAATCACCTTTAGGGGGTGGCCACGTTGTAATCCCTTCTTCATTCTCCTCTTGGGATTTTGTACACACACGCATACATGCCCGGCATGACTTTGAAGCCACCAGGTCTGGGACTCAAACCCGTCAACTACATGGGAGTCCAGTGACATAACAATTACGCCACTGCTGGGCCCACAATAAATAATTTTTTTTTTAAGTTTCTGGGGCCAGCAGGGCATGGTGGTTAAGGGCGCTGGACTCCCACATGGCTGATGGTGGTTTGAATCCCAGACCCGGCAGCTTGCTTTCTCACTTTCTTGCACTCTGTCTCTCACTCACCCTCTCACTTTGTCCCTCTCTGGTCAAATTAAAATAAGTAAATAAATGAATAAAGTTTAAGTAAAACTAACTTCCTCTCTGGAGGAGAGATGACTGAGACTATCTTACAGAACACAGTGCCATACACAGACCAGCTGACCGAGAAACATCTGATGGCATACTACCAACAAAACATACTGAACACATTGCTTTATGGAGGGGTGGATTCTCAGGGGCCTACAAGCTTTTCTCTTGGTAGGCCCAGAGACAACAATATACAATTCCATGCAGAAACACATCGATTTTCCTCTTGAGCCCAGTGTATTATTTGTCCCAGTGAGACTAACGAAGAATCTGCAGAGGCTGCCCTCGTCCTTCTGTGGGAGAAGGGAGTGGACTGGGTTATGTTCTCACAGCAGAGGAAAAGGGCATTCAGGACAGATAGGTCCAGGGAGGCCAACTCCATCCAGGCACCAACCAGTCTGACCAGGGCTGGTGATGTCAGTTACTTTTTAAAGGAGAAGGCTTCTCTTCCAAACAGAAAGGCAATACTTTGATTTGTTTGCCAGGTGTCCCGAAGGATAAATCTGGTAAAGGAAGGACCAAGAAAACGAAGAGCGGACAAATCAAGGGACCATGAGGGGAATAGCGGACAAATCAAGGGACCATGAGGAAGAAGTACCCGGGCTCAGAAACCATCACCCCAACTGTATTTTTTTCTCCCACTCCTCAAAATCTCCCAGTGAGAAGCTGAGCCCTGGGTCTGCCGAGACAACTGCTGCGGGGACCGCCGAGTCCGGAGGCACTGCCCATTTTGGCATGTAGTAGAATCACTCAAAGGCTCTGTGAGAGACACAGAGAAATTCTGCGCTGGGAAACCTTTCCTCCCAAGGTCCTCAGGATTTGGAAACAAAGATCACAAACACGACAGCCTCTTACAGCACATACGGGCCTCAGCCCCATTTATTTGCATAACCGGAGGTTTCTGCCAGAAGCAACAGTTTTAGGTCATGGTAGCCATTTTCCTCTAGCCTGGACAGGGGCCAAAAGAGACAAATACATGAATGCATATTTCAGACTCCTTTCTCTGAGGCCTGAAGGGCTGAAGAAACCATTTCCTCCTCACCTGCCATTTCTATAATACTACCTCTATAAGTCCTCCCAACTGCACTCACATATACAGAATTTGCCATGGATGAAACATTGTTAAGTAAAAGTCACTGTATAGACTGTCCCTTTCATCACAGACACAGAGAAAGTTAAGGAATTAACCAGTCTTGGAACAAATGCACATACTCCTTCTTTCTGACCCCATGGAGCTTTTCTTTTAGCACAAAGAGATCTAGGAGGCCTCTAGAAAATGATTCAGCCTTGGCCCTCTTTCGTGGTTCCAGAAGTGTTCCTACAGGTACCATCTAGAGTTTAAGCCCAGAGTAAGACACAAAAGGCTGATACTCTCAGGAAAGAAATCTAGGGCTGACAGTCTTTGAGGAGTAACTGAGGCCAATTGCAGGCGACAGGACCAGGGCAGCTAGGAGCTGCTCAGTAGGTGAAACGCATTTTTTGTGAGTAGCCCAGTTTGTCCAAGTTGGGATGACAGGCCAGCTGCACCATTGGGGGTGGCCCACAGAGCAGCAGCAACACATCATCCCCTGGGGCAGGCAGGTGCTCCCGGATCATGTCGGCAGTCACAAAGCCCTTGCTGTAGGCCCAACCTGAAGATGGGAGAGAGAAAATTGGCACCCCAGCCCCATGCATGCAAGGGGCTGTGGTGGTACCATGAAGACAGGCCATTAGGGAGAGTCTTAAAAAGCTCTTGAGAAGACACCATGTTGAAGCAGAGCTACAGCTCCCCCTGCAGCCTGCCTGGTAAATAGGAACCCGAAAGGAAGGGACCAAGGGACCACTGTGTCTGTGTGCTCAGACCTGGGAGTTTGACAGTGGCAGGAGGACTCACAGAGGGGCGAGGCCTTGATTCTGATGATGAGGGGATACTGGGACATGGCCAGAAATACGGTGGGTACCTTCTGGGGGATGATCCAGAGTGAACCAGAGCTTAAAACGATTGGGATACTGGGCCTGTAGTTCCTCCAAGTCCTCCCGCAAGATGATGTCCTTTTCAGTCTGAAATGAAAAAGGAACTAAAAGTCTTCTCAGGCCCACATTGAAAAAGTTCTCTGCTGTGAGGACTTTCCAACCAAGAACAAAAAAGAATATGAAAGGAATGCTTCAGTTCTAGGGAATAAATAAGACCTTCAGCACTTTTTTTTTTCCCTCTTCTCTCTCTCTCTCTCTCTTTTTTTTTTTTTTTGCTACACAGCATGTGCACTTGCCAAAAAGACAGAGAGACAGAAAGTGAGAAATCACCCCCCGGGGGGATGGCCATACCACAATCCCATCTCCTCCATTCTCCTCTTGTGGTCTTGGGCATGCACACATATGTGCCCAGCATGAGTTTAAGCCACCAGGTCTGGGACTTGAACCACGGTCAACTACATGGAAGTCCAGCGACATAGCCATTACACCAATTGCTGGTCCCATCCTTCAGCACTTTTAAGAAGTTTAGATAACGGGAAGGAGAGAGATCTGCCTTTTCTACACATTATGAAGGAGTAAAGATGAATATTTAACCAAGGACACCCAAGTTTCTATGCTTAAGACTACATGTCTTAAATGCTTTCTTCTTTCCTTGGAGAACAGGGAAGAAATGTGGCTCCATGCTCTGTCTTTAGTCCTCCTCATTACAGTCAAGGGTCCTCTACCTTGCAGACAGGACTTTGGGCAGGGGCTAGAATAGGCACCAGGCAAATTCCACTCATCTCTCAGTCCCACCCATGCAGAGACTCTGAAGTTCCAGGACTCAGAAAAGCAAACCAACCTGGTTGGCAAAAAGCAGGAAGCACTGGGTTGTATCTTCAGGAACTTTCAGGATAGCCCGGATCAGCTGTAGCATTGGGGTGATTCCTGCATGAAAATAGCCCACAGTGAGATGTGGTGACTGCACCCTCTACCCTGTCCCAGCTCCTTAACTGACAATCTGTTTCATCTTAATTCTAATTATTCACTATTCCATTCTATTTTCCTTATCTTCATCCTCTGATTCCTTTCTGCCTTCTCTCCAGCACCCTGCCTTCTCTCCAGCACCTACACTCTGGGATACCCTCAAGATTTACATATTGTGGAAATCTCTCTAAGGAGCCATCTATGATTCTTCCTCTGAAAGCCCCTTGGAAATTAGAACTGAAAGGTCACAGATGACTGTAAGGGGCTCCTGAGTTGATGGTGAGGGTTCTGGAACATGGGATTTGCAGAGATTAAGTGAATATACTCTGGAATCAGGCAGAACTGGATACTAATCTTCTCTTTGGCCATCACCAGTTAAATAACCCTGTGAAAACTATCTCATGTCTCTGAACCTTTCTTTTCTCATCCATAAAGGAAAGGCTGGAACCTACTTCATAGATATATTTTTATGTTCTAATACATGGTAGTATATTAGGCTATAAACAGTGTCTAATATTAGACCTTATAGTGTCCAATACATAGTAGTGTCCAAATGTTAATTTTCTTTCTTTCTGGCTAATCATTCCTAGCTGCTTCTCCTTTTTGTCACCTGAAAATTATTAGAGTCATCCAATTTGAGGAAGGCACACCTGATTTATTGCTATGATTCAACCCGTGAAAATTATCTTAGTTTCTACCTACTTATTATTTTGTTTTTCAGATACTGGGGCATTCTAGGCATTGCTGATTAAGTTTGGTTATGTTGTTGTTTTTTTTTTAAATTTATTCTTTAAGAGAGATTTCTGCTATAGGACATGTGCACTTGCCAGAGAGACAGAAAGCAAGAAATCAGTTCCTGGGTGGGGGGGTGGTGATGACCACACCACAATCCCTTCTCCTCTTTTTTTCTCTCTGGATTTTGGGCATACATGCACATGTGCCTGGCATGGAGTTTTAAACTGCCAGGTCTGGACTCAAACCATGGTTGGCCATGTAGGAGTCCAGCAGTATAACCATTATGCCACCTGCTGGTCCCTGTTGTTTTTAAAATTTACCAGAGGGTGTGTGCTATCACCAAAGAGAGATAGAGACAGAGGGAAAGTGAGAAAGCATCCCCCAGGGGAATTGCTAGGTCACAATCCCTTCTCCTTCATCTCTCCCTCCTTTCAGGATTTTGGGCACATGTACACACATGCTGGATATGTTTCTCAAATCTCTGGGTCCAGAACTCAAACTGCACTGTTGGTCATCGGGATCCAGCTGCCTTAACCACCATGCCACGGGCTGGCCCAGTTTGGCTAAGATTACCAAATCTTCTGAGGGCTACTTAGGATTCTGCTTGGCAACAATCCACAACAGTGAGTGAGAACAGTCCCTCGAATGAGATGCACCTGTTCCTCCAGCAATCATTCCCAGTTTCTTCGCCATTCGGGGTTCTGGGGGAGATTTCTTGTTGGGCTGAATGTTAAAATTTCCTGAGAAGTCAAGTGAAGAGGGGTGGAAGTACAGAAATCAATAAAGAGAACAAAGAGAACAAACGCAAAGTTGAAAACATGCCCAAGGCCCGTTTAGCAGCTGCTGTGAAACCTGATGCTGAATTTGGATGGAGGTTTTAGTTCAGTCAGCCCTGACAATAATACACTGGAGGGATGATGCCGTTAGGGTGATCTGTCTACCAGCCAGTTCAGGGCCACGAGGTATCAGTTGCCTCTGGCAGAAGCTCGCTCCCTGGTGAGGGAGACAGGCATGGGGCCAGGTATGTCAACTTTCCCAAGTGGCAGAGCAGCTCCAGGGGCTTACTAATGCACCCAGCTGTTCCTAGGGGAAAGGGTGAAAGCTATCTCTGGCTCTCTCCACAGCTCAGCCTGAGGGGTGAATCTTTGAGAGAGCAAAAGAGGCATCTGCTAGTTTTAGTAATCTCACAGTGATGAGGGCTGGTGAGCTCCAGTGGATGGAGAGGGAGCTGCTCCCTGTGGCAAATGAAGCTGAGAAGTGTCCCTTTCTATAGAGTCAGTGCTATGTGTCAAAGGCAGCTCTGGCACTTATACACATGCACACACACGAGCATGCACACGCATGTGCACACACACACAGGGTCATACTGTGCCAAGTGGACTGTGGGAACTGGAGAAGTGGGAGACAGGCTCAAGGAGACAGGTCATTACCTTTCCCAGTGTAAGTGAGCAATCCACTTGGCCCCCGAAACTCTACCACGTCCCCTATCTTCAGGCTATTCAGGTACTGAGACATCTTCCCTCCCTCGGGAAATTTGGGGTGCACACCCTTCAGGTAAACCTGAGAAGACAGAAAGGAAAATACTTTATTTAGAATGTCGCTGGTTTCTGAGCCCCACGTTGACTGAACCATCCCAGGCTAAAATAGGGATCCTGCGTGCATGATCTTTTCTGGTGCACAAGCTTCCTCATATCCACAAAGGGCGTGCCAGTGCCTCCTGTCAGAGAAATCTTGGAAGTTTCCACAAATCCCAGAAACAGTTAAGGACCACCTTGGGGTTTCTTCTTACCCCCTTACCTTGATGACAAGATCCACGTAGCCTCGGTCCTCATCACTGGTGACGGGAGTGTATGGCCTGATGACCAGGCTGCCATCAATTCGGGCAGAAAGGTAGACATGTTTGCCTAGGGACCGTGCAGAGAGAACATAAGGGCAGTTCATGGCAGTGCTGCGTCCCTGCTACCTTCCCAAGTACTCAGAGGGGTCTGAGAAAACAGGATGTCCCTGTCTTGCTGTGGTCCCAGGGAGCTCTAGACAGGTGACTCACCTTTGAACCCTCGGTCGGATCTCTTATAAGTCCCCCATTGGAGGAACTCTTATCAATTACTGCCAGGTTGCTGGCAGCTCCAAGTGGAGGGGCTGGGCAATGGGGGGAAATGAGTGTTTGCTCAGAGGGGGGTTCTGAGAGAATTCTGCAGGAAAGAGAAGACTGTTGAGTGTTAACGATGGCTGGGGGCACAGAAGCCACTCTCTGGAGGGGCCCAGTGGCACCTCACAGCCTGGAGGATTTAAAACCAAGTGGGGTAAGGGGGGAATGGCATGTTTCACGAGGCCCGAGAAGGGGAATCACCCTCTCAGGACACCAGGGAAAGGAGCACGCTCCACACTTTCCTTACCCACAGGCAGCCCCAGAATGTGCTGGGCGGTGGGCAGGGCAAAGCGGAATCTCTTGGTGTTGTGGCTCACAGTCTGGAGAATGGATGACACAGTGTTTCACCAGGCGGTCTGGCATTGCCAAATCCCTTGGGGCATCCCAACCACCGTGGCTGCTTTCCTTTCATATCAGAACCCGTCCCCTCCTCTATCCTGGCCCCTTCTTTTGCAACCTACCGTCTTGTCTAGCAGTCGCAGCAGGTACTTTTCATCGGGGTCCAGGAGAGTGATCCGTGGCCGGCGGTACTTCCGGACCAAGTAGGAGCCCACAGCCAGGCCGAGCAGAGTAAGCACCCCCACCCCCAGGGAGGCCAGCAGGACTGGGCTCTGTGGGTAGAGGAGGCGGCATGACCACCACGCTGGGGAAGAGCCCAGGGCGTGGGTGGTGACCGTCCCTTTCGACCAGCCGCCCAGGGATAGTGCTCCCGAGCTTCAGCGGAAGCATGCCAAGGCCAGAGGGATAGTCTAGGCAGGGTCCCCAGCCTGGATGTGTGGTACCCGCGCCCCAGCATCCAGGGAGGCTCCAGATCCCAGCGAGGCGGGGTCGGCGGTGAGAGCCCTGGCTCCGGAGCTGAGTGCCCAGAAACAAACGGGACAGGGTCTCCTGATGCAGGATACGGAACGGGAGTCTCACCGGCTGGATCCCCATGACCGAGCCCTGCGTCCTCCAGCTCGCAGGCAGGCAGATCCCACAATGCGCCGCGGGGCGGGGCTGGAGGGTGGAGCCTGAAGGAGGTGTGGCCGGGGCGGAGCCTAGGGGGGGCGGGGCCAGTGAGGGCCTCTTCACTTTCCGGTGGCCGGCTGGAGCAGGCTCTCGCTTAGTTCTCTAACATCCATTTTTTTCTTTTAAAAAAAGTTACTCATTTACATATTTCGTGTGTGTGTGTGTGTGTGTGTGTGTGTGTGTGTGTGAGAGAGAGAGAGACAGAGAGAGAGACAGAGAGAGAGAGAAAGAAATAGGTGACCTCGACAGGGGCCTTTCCCAAGCCGCATCACAGTCCTGAGTCTGACCTGTTGGGGTCCAAACCTGGGTCTCCCACGTGGCTCTGACCCACAGCGGGGCCCTACTGCCTGCGCCGCTGTGCCTGGGTCTGAGATAATTTCAGCCCCTCCTTCCCAGTTTAATCCCTGACAACTCCACCCTCTATCCCTGAAAGGGATGGAAGTTCTGAGTTGTCTAATAGAATCATGCTAAATTTGGGGATTGGAAATCTGAGTCTGTTGAATGCTAAATGGAGAGTGTAGTATTGAGCCAGAGATAGGCTCAAAATAGAGCTGGAAGGCCTGAAATTAATCATTGTGCAGTCACATGAGTGTTTCAACAAGTTGAACTGCAGCAAGAAAATTGAAGGATCTGGAGGAGTCTCGGTCAGGAATGAACAGTGGCATGGCAACTTCATTTCCTGGTCTCTCTCTCTCTCTCTCTCTCTCTCTCTTTTTTTTTTTTTGAGAGGTTTTTTCTATAGGGACCGT